TTCGTAATATGCATCGTAGTCATCTAAACATTATGAAATAAGTATACGATGTAAATACAGATAATAAATATATTTTTACCGCTGGCCGAAATTGCTTGTAGATCTTGGGTATTAGAATTTTCCGGAAAATTATAGTTGCCTTTATCTGAATTGACCCATCGAGAAAACAACTTTCCTGTGGGATTTTTCTTTCCGTACTTTCTAGCTAGAAAGTATGTTTCCTAGATAAAAAATAAATTAACTGAAGGAGTTTGTTGGTACGGAGTTAGCAGACTTTTGTTTAGTATATTTGCAATGTTTTATATGATACATTTATTTCGTCAATTTTTATAAAAATATGCAGTTTTGTAGCTCCTAGAATTTGAGTGTAACCCTTCGCTAAGAATTTAATTTTCACTCTATTTGGTTTATTCTAGAAAATCAACTATACTTGAAAAAAAAAATAAGTGTGTGTAAATTACTGCAAATATACTAAAAAAAAGTGTGCTAACTGCATGATTATGTACGTATGTAGATTAGAGTGGTTCCAATAATTTCTTACAACTTACCGGCCTTTCTTTGGGGAATACAGCGCATATAGAGGTGGCCCACCTCTGCATTTCTCCATACGTCAATTTTTTTTGGCTTCCAATATATTTTTCAATAATGCATTGGCACAATGTGTTTTGGTGTTTGGCATCCAGGAAACCTTTTTCTTCCTGATACTGGAGTATAAGCTGGCCTTTTACGGTACTTTTTAAAAGTTCAATTAAGCTCCCACTGTCTATGCAACCACATGACGACTGAGGTAAAGGCGAAGACTCTCTCGAATTTTTAACAGCATTCAAGTCGTTCGAAATTTTCTCTAACAATTCCAAAATTTTACTGCTTTCATCACACTCAAATGGCACATTCTAAAAATTGCATGCGTTAAGATACATACACATTTTTTATATTATGATGCACTTACCATGTTCTTTCGCCATTCTTTTAAACCTGCTTTAAATTTGACCTTTTCACCAAAAAATCTTGGAGGAAGTTTATCGAACAAATCGTCGATATCTTTAAACTCAAATTTTTTTAAAATAAGCGTGGATTTGAGGCCATAGTCCATGAGAATCG